TTTGTCATAGGAGACTTTAGCTTTTACCAGAATACAGCAAAAAAGTGTAGAAAACAAGTTTCACTTTCTATAGCAATTGTTCAATAGCAATTCAGACTTTATTTTTAGAAACCGCCATTACTTCTCTATAAACCTAATATGTAATGAAACATTTTATGTAGCAAAATGCAATGATATTGATCAGAGTATTCAGACTATACTTTTCAGGGTCGCTTATTAAACTTTCGTTGTTAAAAAGAAGATTACTCCGCTTCTTTTTAACAACTTTACTAAGAAGTAAGTACTACAACATATTTATATGTTCTAATTCGAATTTCGGGGACTTGAAGGCAAGGTTGTTCAATGTATTAATAGTCGTTCTCCACGCACCGCCAAAAAGAAATTTATGAAAAAAGCTTATGATGAAAACTGTGGAATAACAGAACGTGTCTTCAAGGCTAGTCGTATTTTTAGCAACCCGGAAATATAGGGTAAGCGGCGGGACTAATGTTACTCTACCTGTTTCGATAATTGCTAAAATTGGTGATACTAAAATTTTCGCCAAAGTTCAAATGTATCGGTCAAGGCTCAGAGTAGAATGTTAAACCGTCAACGAGTGCTGTATAAACCGTACGGGTGTTCGTTAAATAATGGCTACGATAGAAAAATGATATTATGTACTACTGGCTAATGAGTATTATAATATGTTTAAGAATAATTTTTATTTATGTCATATTTAGACTGTTTGATTTCTTAAGAAAATTAGTGTCTGCTTTTTTTATAACGGAAGTACATTTGTAGGGGATATAAAGTGTTACGGAACTATGAAATGAAAATTATTTATCTGTAAACTTTGCAAAGTTCTAGAATTTAAATACCTGTAGTTTATTGATTTTCAATTAATGTTATTTTTAAACATCATTTAATTCGATATGTTGATACATTTTAAATGCCTTCAATCAAATGAAAACTCAACGGCGAAATATGTCATATGTAGAAGAATGGAAAATAATAGATTTTCAATGTAAGAAAGAACGATTTTAATATTACTTTTAGTAAAATCTTAATAGGTTTAAATATTTGAGAATTCATTTTAAGATCTATTGATGAACTAGGAATAATAATTTAATAATATGTTTAATAATAATAATGAATCTAAAATCCATTTAAAGTAATATTATTAAATTTACTTTAAGATAAATTTTGTTCCCTCTCACCCCCCCCCACTGATAACCTGGCTACGCCTATACTAATATACATAAATGCATGAAATCCGCAGTCTAGTCTTCAGTTACCTACCTGATAAAAACCAGACGGGTGAACGGGGGCAAACACCCAGGTGTCAATTATTTTCATCCTCTGAATTTTGTCCAAGTGTTGTGTTATGAAAAGTCTGTACACACGTATGGCACGTCTCCCGAATGCATTCGACTGCTCGATATTGTCGGGAGATGATAACAAACAGATCGTAAACTTTACAATTGAGCGCGAACTCCTGAAAGCACGGGAATCGGAACGAGAACTGATGCTGGACTTCCGTCGAAAACTTTGCGACTGACTGTCAAACTACAATAGGTCTCCTTCTACGATGCAACGAATAAATACGCTGGCCGCAGTAAGTAGGAAATCTCATTCGTGGAAAGTGAACCGTATCACATCCATTTCTACCTTAAAAATGAACAAACAGACATATTTTCTATTTAGTTAATATTTATCATTGTGGTATCATTTGTATTAATATTTAATAATTATTTTTTAGTTTTTCTGTTTCCTCCCATTGTGATTGATTTTTCAATCAGTTTATAATTTTTCATAAATTCATTTGATTTCTACTTCAAAAGTGAAAGAAATCGTATTTTTTATTTGGTTAATATTTATTGTTTTGATATGGTTTGTATTAATTTTAATTATTACATATATAGTTTGCCTATTTCCCCCCATTATGGCAGATTTTTCAATTATTTTATTTATAATTTTTTCACTTGGTGCCACTAATTCCAAATTTTCTGAATTTAAATTAAGTATAAATTTAAAGAATCACTTGTGACAAAAACATTAAATTTTTGTTATTGATCAGATAATTGTCACATTTCTTTTATTCGAATTTGTACTAATCAGAAATAGAAAAGTACAGGCTTAATTCAACTGTTTCTAATTTATTGCGCGTAATATCGTCCTACATAATATTGTTGTAAGTTACAGGGGCGACGATGCAACATTACTTCACTCAAAGCAACGCGTTCTTATTATAACGTTACATTTTCCGATCAGCCTCGTGTAATAGTACGTCTAATGGAATATCGATACGAACCAATACATGTTCTAAAAGGTATTGCAACTCGTATCTGCTATTAATATTAGTGGAAACTAAAGGGTTCGTAAATAACATGTTAAGAGTCAATAAATCGATAATTAGGTCGGAAATAACAGTGAAAGACAAGCCAATGATAAAGTTAATAACATCAGGATTTTCTTCTCAAAAAATTCTTAAACCATATAATATATATTGTATAATATATAATATTTACAGACATCCGTAGAATGCAAAACATTAAACATCGGTTTCTAAGAAAATATTTATAGTAAATTACAGTTTTATATGTACAAAGTTCATAGAGTATATAATATCTTCTTCATATTTACCACAATTATTTTCTTTACTTACACGATAAATTGACAAATACAACAATTTTGCAAAAAGCACGATATTGTTGATAATATTCCTAAAAATATATAAATCTATTAATATTTATCATTTATTAAGATACAAGACAAAAAATAGGTTGCATTCGTTTAATAAAAAATGATATTTTACACGTTAATAATTAAATATTTAATATATTTATACAACTACATAGTTACGGTGGGTTGTAAAGGCAGCACAGGGTTTCACGCTCTGATTAAAGGGCTTAAAATAAGTGAAACAAACTTTGTTTGACCGTACCTAAATTAATGCTCCCTACAAGCATTATATTTCAAAATTTTCGTTATTAAATTTTCTCATCCCTTTTCACTAAATTCGTTTACAACAAATCCACATGTTATAGTTATTAAATAAACCTTAGTATACGAAATTATACAATAATCTACACCGTTTATTTAAATATATATATCAGTCTTGTATACATTACTGCTAATAAATATTTTCTCATCTGTATTAAATCCAATTTACTAAAAAATGTGCCAAATTTACAAAAAAAACTCGTTGCCTTCGCAATAAAAATCATAAAAGAAACACAAATTTGCGATCATTGAGGAAGTACAATTTGTGTAATCTTTATCCTTATGTGATACCATTCTTAAAAAAATACTTTTTTTTTTTAATGAAATAGTATGTTCCTTTACATGAATCGATGTCATGGCATTTCTCTATATACAAAGTTGCCAGTATTATCTGTCGACGATGAAAGCATTTCCCACGGAGCCTCTGTTTCATAATGGACAAAAGTTTTCTATGGGGTTTTCATATGAGTATTGAGGCACTATATTACTCCAACCACGGCCAACATGTATGCACGCCTTTTCCAGCTCGGCGTGCACAACACTCATCTTCAGACGATCAATATTTCTCAATAACAGGAACGATAATAAGAAACTTTAAACAAATGCGCACTAAAGAAGATTGTTTTTGTTTAACATTGGAACTACAAAACTCGTCAAAATGACCGATTGCAAGTTTCTTGTTTTAGAATTACTGAAATTATAACATTGCTTTTAGTGGAATTTATGCTGATTTTTAATTTACTATACATACTTTGTTATATTGAATTGTATTATATCTATTTATTTTGGGGTTCTAGTAGATCCGAAATAGACAGGAAACCTGAATAAACATCCTGACACTTTTTACTATATTGAATTTTATACAATTAAATATTCCATAAATGCATAAGATCTCTTTACATAGACTCCACACATTTGTTCACACACTATCGAAAGAACAATTACATATAAACATTTTTATGTAATCTACCTCTGTACTTGTTCTTATTACTTTTGCCTCTATTGTCTTTCAACGATAGATTTTCCTTAGTTTTAAAATCAAATTTATGATTTGTCGCATTTGTACATAATTACGTGTAAAAACATAATTTTTTAAGGAAGAAGAAAAATACTGTGTCAAGTAATGTAAAGTCAGTATGCACTGATTTCATCTTCCAATTACACTATTTATACTTATTTTTTGGCCTTTTTAAGTACATAGTGGGAAACCGAATGAAATAATCGTAAAAAACAAATACAGTAATTCCTCGATGAATGCGACACGAGCAATGGCGTTATGGAATCTGGATCATTTCTTTCTGGAATCAATCAAAACAGAGTAAACAGAAGCTAAGCAGAAGGGTTAAAAACCTTTCCGCCTCGTCATGAATGCTCCGAATTGCTTCTAAAGAGATATAATGTTCACAATAGTTATAGAAACTCTGGAAATGGCTTTGATGATTCTTCTTCAAGATGGTGAAAAGGACGACGGGCGAAACTTTTGAGTTGGCACAACATTTTAGACTCAAAAGGTATCTCACAGTCGAATCATCCATCATACTCATCTAATTCAGTTACATCAAACTAATTCCTGTTACCCAAATTGCAAACGAAGACAAGGAAACGACAATCTAAAATCATTTTCACATTCACATGGTATCAACGACTATTTTCTCCGCCATCTTGAAAAAGAATTACCAGAGCTGTTTCCAGTTTTCGTATACTTATCACGAACTACTTTGTCACTTCCGAAGGAAACTACTTTCAATAATTGCTGTTAAATGTTCTTCGTATTTTAGGGGTACGCGAAAAGAATTGAAATAACAGCAAATATGTAAATTATAATCATTTTTCTAATATTAGAGGGTACAAAAAACTGTTATTGGCTCCAAGAATTAGGGGAGTCGATATGGGTATAGTCTTAGCTTCTAGGACCGAAAATATCGAAAATTCTCTGTATTGTATAAATTCTTATAGATCAGTGAATACCGTTGCATTTTCGTATTGTAAATTACAATATCCGTATTTTCTTATTGCAGTTTGCAACTTCGTGGTGCACGACCGCTGTCTCAAGGCCGTCGTCTCTCCCTGCTCCAGCATCGCGGCAAGCCTCATTAAGGTAAGAATACCCTCTGTTCCCTGTTTTTCTCCCTTTTGTCACGGCGTAGATGAACGAATTCTTCCCGGCGACCTATATTTACGTACCGTTGAAGAACACTCCGTTGCACAGTGTCATGGCGCCGTGTAAAACTCGACTGGAGAACGAAGTCAACTTCGTCGCGAGCCTGTGCTCCGGACAATTGCGACACTTCCATAAATGCTTTGTCTCGTCGTTTCCGTGTGTCTGTTCCTCTTAGGCCGAGATGTTCCACTCAAACTGGAAGCAATTTAGCTGTAGATCGTGCAGTTATGATGTAGTTATCTTTTGGTAGTATATTAGTTATATTACTGATTTATAAAGAAAGGTTGCCACGGAAAGAGAGAATTTTTGTGATTGTTTAAAAACGATTTGTAGAGAATTATTTAATATTCTTAATAGAATAGTATGAAGAACCTTCCCCCTTTATAAAATTAATCTGTTAATTGGGGAAGACGAGTTAAATTGTCCATATCTTAGGATAATTATTGATTTCTTCAGTTTGGGTGCCAGAAGATCCTTGATTTTTATTGGAATATAGTGTTTTTTAATGTTGTACATTATGTTACATTCACATATATTACAAAATAATACTTTATTTATTTATTTTTAACTATACTCTTAATTAGTTAGTGATCGCAAAGTTAACTATAGTCTGCAGATTAATACGTATTATAATTTGTTACGACGCATTTTGCGCCGAAATGTGACTCGGGCGCGGAAGAACCGAAAACCGGACCGCCCTCGGCCGCCCCTCACTCGCCCGAAATAAAATCTAAGCGCTCCTGGAGGATTCTTAGGCAAATATTACCGACCGAATTTAAACTAATCACGTGGTAATCTCGCGTCGAGTTACCGCTCGCGATTTCAGGAACGTATCGATCGGGGTCAATACGAGACGAAGGACGCTGATCTCTCCCCGTGCCCACCGACTCTGCTCCAGGGACCGCCCCGAAATCCCGTCGAGCGGCCGCTCGAAGACTGTAAGACTGGGCTCAAGGGGGGTACGCGGAGAAAAAGAATAGCATAGTGGGGGGCCCGCTAGGTCCCGCGTCACGTAACGTGCCCGAAATCGTCACTTGAGCGGCCCGCGTAGCCCAGTTAAAGTAGCGTATCGAGTAGCGCGAGTGAGGAGTATCGCATATATCGATAGCGAGACGCCACCGGAGAGCACGGCCAAAAGGATAGCCGGGATACCGCCTTATTGTAAGTGAGCTTTCTCATTTGATCTCCGTAGGGCAATCTAGATCTCGTCCGCCCCGACAATGCCGCGGGAGTAAGATCGAACGTCGCGTTTCGCTACCGGACGCGCGGGGAACCACGTGTTGGTCGGACAATAGAATATCGAGAATCCCGGGCAGATTTCCTCCAGGGCGCGATATCGTCTCGCGAAGGCCCTCAAGTTATTGTACCACCTTTTATAGTCGGCGGTAGCGTAATACCGTACGACCGTGTCGTTGTAATTTTGCGATTAAGACCGTCGGTGGTCGCGGACCACCGAAATATCGAACATATCGAAATTCGGTTATATCGAAGGCGCGGGTCGCGACGATAGTCGACCGTCAAGCCGTTATATTTTCTTTTTGTTAAGTCGAAGTACCACCAGTTGTAACGCGGTCTTGCAAGAGGCCGGCGCGAGAAATATAATAAATTGTTATCTGAACAATTATTTACAATTATAATTATGTGAGACCCCTGTTAAAGGGTCTCGAAGAGCATTATTTGATTTCTCGTGCTTGTTTGTGTCGTCCATCGGGGACTCCTGTCGCGGGGAGAGTCTATTGTTCCGGTATTTGCGGATCCTGGCCACCTTTTTATCGAACTATCCAGCGGTGGTTGCTTTCTTCCCCGTCAGTCGGTGGATTTCGGCCCCATTGGAGGGGACAGGTTTCAGTCCGGTATTCGGGAAATATCGGTCGGTACTTAAAATAGTACCTGGCGCCCAGAAAACGGTGGAAAAACTCGCGTTTTTTTTTCGTGCCGTGTAACGGCCGTGCGACCGGCGGAAATCGCGGACAACGTAACAAATTATAATACAATAATACCAAATAAACAATTAATATATGTAATATAGTATGTTACTATTGTAATAACTAGACTGTGTTCATATAAATTGTTAGATAAACATTTATTGTTAAAACAAATTAAGGCACCTAATTAACATTATTTTATTGAATTCTTTAATATTAAATAACACGTAAAATATTGAATAACACGTTCTGATTAATTTAGTTAAGTGAATAATTGTATGATTAAGAACGTTCTCCCTTGTTGTTATAGAACCCGGTTGCACACTGTTGGTCCGAACAGAAACATCGTAGAAGACAATTCTGCAACGTCTGTCGTAAACGGCTCGATGATAGTTTATACATACACTGTGAAAGTAAGTGCTTCTTCTTTTAAATAATAATACACTGGTTAAATTGATTTAAAACAAAAGTGGGAAGCAAAAGAAAAATAAAGTGAAAGTGGAAAGCAAAAGAAAAATCGTTTCAAATAACGGATGGGAGGGAAATAGTAAAAAAATATAAAATTATATTCTTCATGTAGTTTATTGTTCATTCCTTGCAGTCATGAAAAAATGTCATTTTACATTATTTTATACGATAAAAAAATAAATCTTTATTTTTTACAAATAAACAAAATGCACGATAAATCTAATTTTCATATTGTTCTTAATTTATTATGGGTTATCATAATAATATGTAATGTAAAAAGTTGAATTATGAAGATAATTGGGTATGTAAATGAAAAGGGAAAGGAAATAAATATTGTACAAGACGTTACTTTTATTTCAAAAAATTAATTAAGGGTAACAATGACGTGACTTTAACATTGTGGACTCGGTGATGCTCCTACTGGATAACCTCTCCTTCTGGCATTCAAATCACCGAAGCACCCACTGTAACAGTGCTATATCTATGACATTGTTCATTGAAATACACAGATTGATCTGAAATATGAGTCAAATGATTTAGGAGTATATAGTGCTCAGTAAAATAAGTAAAAAATGTGCAGAAGTTGTAAACATTTTATTTCGGCTTAGATTTATCTAGAATGCAGAATAAATAAAGAACGTTTGTGAAACAATTAAACAAAGATGTCAAATTTATATTTAAATGAAGGATACGAAAATGAAGGATCATTTATGAATAAACAAGGACAAAAGTTTGATTTGCAAGAAATAGCCATCTCTTTATCTGTTTCCTTTAAGATAATTTTTCAGACTTATGTCGATAGGACATTTTTGCCTTATTTTAATGTGCACTGTGTAGCCCTAAATTATTGTACCCTTTTTTTGAGATCATTCTATATATTTGTTATAACAATAAGTATTCCGCTATTGTACTCTAAGTATGAGGCGATACATTTTAAATTAAGAATGTCATCATAACTCTTTCAGATCTGAATTTTCTTTTAAGAGTAAAAAATATATTTCATTACACATTTTAACTCAGTAGACTGTTTACATAACATTTTGTTTAAAAGAAATTTCTTTTTAATTTTTTCAAAAAATGATTTGTTATTCAATTCTGAATTCAGTAGACCTACTAAAAACATTCAGTACATGAAAAAAATTCAAATTCATAAGAAAAATATGGGTTTGCAACATATGGTATCTAAGGGTATCTGTGAAATTGTAAGAAACTTCATGTGCACAAATGTGACCACTAGTTCTGAAAGGGCTAAATAAATTTCCACTAAGTAAGTAAAAGTGCTTTAAGATCTCAGCAAATCATTATCAATATAAGTGAAACAGTCCAGATCCTTGACTTCTTATACATAGTACACCTAATACATAGATATTGGGTTTGGGATAAGATTAAAGTGAGTTATTTAAGAATTATGTAATCATGCATACATGTATGTTGCCCACATATGCGTATATATTTCCCTTTTGTTAAAAAAGAAATAAAAAACAGTGCAATATTTGAATGTCTTTAAGGTAGCTCACGAGTTTGGTCTCGTATTTAGCTGGGGCTTTATATGGCGCTGCTTAATACTTTTTATCAATTTTACCAATTTAATTTATAAAAAGTTTAAAAATTTAAAACTTTACAAATAAGTAAAAAAGACAAAAATTTTCTTGCTCATTATAAAAAAAGTAATTTTTTTCAGGACAGGTACATTAACCCGGTGGTATTCTTCATTTCAGTATGCGAGTACTTCGTTCACACGGAGTGCCAGGATTTTGCCGTGGCAGACTGCAAGGAGAACGCCACGTACTTACCTGGGAAGGACTTGGCGCAGGTAAAACACACTCATCACTGGCGAGAAGGCAATCTTCCCAGCAGTTCGAAATGTGCTGTCTGCAAGAAAAATTGTTTTTCTGCCGAGTGCCTTTCCGGGCTCCGTTGCGAGTGGTGTGGCATGACGGTAATATTTCTTTCCGAATCATATAATTTTTCAAGAAACTATTTATGTACCTGAATTTGTTGCTCAGGTACACATGCTTTTTCTGTTGAAAGTTTCCCTCTAGCTCTAATAGTTTTCGAGATATTCTACCAAGTACCCTAGTAGCAATTATTGTTGGCATTTTGATGGGCCTTTAATGCAGTATTGGTTGGACAACAGTTCGAATTGTCACCCTTTTTTGCAACTGGGCCAACGATCATACCCAACGTAGGGCCCACGTCACTATCTACTACGCAGGGCCAACTGAAGGTTTCTTTCCGTAGGGCCAATTGTTGAGTATCTACAATAAACCAATAATAGGAAGACAGTTGGCTATATTACACTTCCATAAAATCCTTTAAAAATATTTGAAGGAGTATAACACTGGAAATAATATTTATAATAATTTCTTGTTATAATAATTATATACATGTATAAATTGTATATGTATATTAAACAGGTAAACAAGCGTTTTACTCATAACTACACCAAGTCAAATCAAATACTCTCAAAAGACATGAAATGAACCGTTCTGTTTTTATATGTACTAATCGAACCCAATGAATCGAATTAAATATTCAATTGATCAATATTTATGTGTATATTATATCGAACTTGGTCCCATCACTAATGACAGTAATGAAGCTCAATCTCTACTTCACTTCTTTTACGTTCAAAGAACACATGTCCTTCTAATAGAATAGAAATCATTGGTCTTTATACAGAGTGTCCCTAATTTAAACATCAAAATATCAAGAGCGTGCAGGGAACTGATAAATTAAGAAGAAAAAGTCTTTTGGAAATTTGCTCGTTTTTACTCCATTTCGGAGTAAATCGCGAAAATTGCCACTATAAATTTTTGTTCTGGTGATATTTGATGTACTGCAACCACGATTCAATCTTTCAGTTGCTCTCTTGGGTTGATTGGCATCGAATAAACTTTCTGCTTAAAAATCTTAGATTAAAGGTAATTAAAATTTTATTTAAATTTGATTCTTTATTAAATAGATGATACTACGAATAAGTGAAAAAACGAACGCATTTTTGTTTCCTTTTTTACGACTTTTTAGAAAATACAGCAGAAACTAGCAAATCTCTAAAGAACCTTTTTTTCTAGTTTCTCGGTCCTTTACATGCTTCCGAAGTTTCGACAGTTAAATTGAGGATACTCTGTATAGTTCGACACACAATCGTTAATTCTTTATGTCGCAACGATATAAATAAATCTGATTACAGTTGCACTCTTACTGTTATAAAAATATCCCGCAAGAATGCAACTTTGGGAACCTGAAGCGAATCTACTTACCACCGCATGCAGTCAGTATTCCGCGTACGGAGATTCCCATGGAGACGATCATCGGAGTACAAGTACGTCGAAACGAAGTCCTGGCGCGTGAGTATTCCTGCCGTAAGTGTCTATTGTGCAAATAAACGTCTAAAATATCGATTAGGGTGTGCGTAACACGTGACCGGATATACGGAATAGTGGAATGAAGATTATTGATATACATGTACATACATACATAATACTGTAAATAGACGGGGTGAGTCACCTGAGCTTGGAAATATTCTCATACATATCTGATGATACGAAAAGAAAAGTAGAACGTAAATATTTTTTTTGATCCGACAACATGATAGAAATCACAAACAATTTATATCTATTTCCCTAACTCTTAGAAATGAAACATTTCGCATTTGTTTTTTATTATAAATACTATACTATACTAATTACATTCATTTGAAATAACGTTTTATATTAAGTGTACCATAGGAGTTTTGTAATTATGATTTTTCCAATCTAATGCAGTTTGCGGTGCACATCTGAAATAGAATCTTTCAAGTTTCACTAATTGATAACCAGGCAGATTAATTAATTGCTATCTTAATTTTTTTTAATGGATTCTTCATAAATTTGTATAGATTGATTGCCATATCAGTATCGTGAGGGTAACACCATGTATTACGAAGAGATTAAACAATAATTGTGAAGTTAAATATTTGGTTTAGTGCTAGTATGTTTCCAAAATTGTATGTAATGTAAACCACTATTTTTTTAACAACATGAAAATAGAATTTAAATCTAATATATTTTTCTGTTTTTTTTACATGATAAAACATTATTAAGGAAAACATATATTTTCGATTTTCTTGGAAAAAAATATTGACTTCGCTAAACCATAGTGGACTAGTCATAAGTATACTTAATAGATGAAATAAAAATTCAGTTTTATAAAAATAATTTCATTCATCAATACAGGCAGAGAAATTTAAAATTGTAGGCATCGGACAGTTTATCTTTTACAATACCTTTTTACAAAAGAATTATAATAGCGATACAAAACGGGAAAATGGAACTAAAATCGCTTTGTGTCTTAAAAACAACTTCTAACAAATTTTATTTCCGTTTTCTTCATTTTATGAGTTATGTTAGACATAGTATAATTGAATGCTTTTCAATGCACATTTTGTGTTTAAGAAAGATGGTTTCATTAAAGAAATTACTGTACTTAAAAGAAACAGTTTTTTCATACGTGTCTTTGTACTTTATATTTTCTTCGAATTTTTTTCGTATCATCGAAGCAACTCGGATGACCCACTGAACTTATATGTCTACAGGTTGTTTTATAAAATATGAGCATAACTTCCATAGTGAATTCTCTATACAGAATGAATAAAACAACTGAACTTTAGTACATTAATCTGTTTCTTTTATCATGATAACAAATATAAAGTAATATTAGTTTGTACAATGTTCTTGAAGCTTTTGTAGAAAAAACAGAGAAAAGAAATTTTTTTTAATTATTTGAGTGATCTAAAGCCAGCCTTGAAGTTATACTCACATTTCGTGTAGAAACGAAAAAAAAGGAAGTGAAAATATCAGTTCCACGTTAAATTCAAAAGGAACGTTGCGTCAGATGTGTTTTTTTATATCTGCTTTTAGAAAGAATGGGGAACGGTAGTGACGTAAAATGAATTTCTTACAATTTTCTACTTCCCGTCACTGCATATCAGCTTTAACGAATATTTCTTAGCGTCTTAACTTCATATTTCCATTCAGCAGATAAATAGAAAGTCCTTCGATCATGAAAATCCATAAAATCTAATCGTCAGATATCGATGATATTCGCGTATTACACTCAGATAACAAATAATGGCTCCATTAGAGTGTTCCGAGTTTCACAGGCGATTGAACTCGACGATGTTAAATATAGGTACATTCGATTATACGTACGTTTCGTTTCCGTGTTCTTCTTTAGATGTCACCAATGTCAATATCTCTTGATGCACTGTTTTTAATGAAACGACCACGATCATACTATAATCACCTTATATTGAATGCATAAATGCCTATTGTTTATAGCAGTGACACGCAATATGTATTCACTACTTTTCCCTTCTGTTCGATATTTCTCTAATCGATTAATTTCCGCGTGCGCTTGTACACGCGCTCGAGAAATCAAGCCAAAACGCTTTAAACGCCATCGAAAGAAAGAAGTTTTATAATAATGACGATTATGTTCTATCGCGGGACAGAGAGGGAACGAAGATTATATAAGATAATTTCAGTTATCTGTATCCGTCTGAGAAGAAAAACAATTGAAATATGAACGATTTCTTGGACACAATTCTTTTGCATGATTTAGTATCCGTTTCCTTTCTTCTTACGTAAGAGTACCACTCAACTTTATCGTATTGTATAAAGTGTCTCGAGATTAGTATAGCCAAAAAGCAGGCGATTCTACATGCTAAAATAAAAGGACAATGTATGATAATATTTGTTTTGTATAGCTTCACTTTAGAGGAAATCGAATTTGAAAATTCCACTGGAACGATGGACTTAAGTCTATTGTTTATTTCTATGAAACTTGGGTTAATGTTTATATGTATGTAGCGACCGTGGCGTTATATGGCATTATTTACTTTTTTTTTTCTTGAGTTCAATATTTATCTTCAAGGAAATCGATGTAATTCTTTGATAACAATCAACATTGTTCCTCGACATCTTACATTGCATTCGCATTAAATTTAAACAGTATTGTAATCTCATTAAGGAAATAGAGGATTAGTCATTGGTATACCAGATGTTATCTGCTTTTTTCACAATAATTCGATATAAAATGATATGCGTAGAACATAATTAAAGATTCAATGGAAAAGATACAGTATAAGTTATGCGCAATTTCTACTGCAAGTAGAAGTAGTGTGTAATATTCAGACACGCTGATCGTTCAGTCAAAAGCGCGGATTTGATGAATTTTTAAATTTGTGTTTCCTGACATGAAGCTACATATAAAAAGCGTTTATTTTATATTTTATATTCTATTTTGATTTTGAAATCTCATTTTTCTTAGTTTCATTATTAGTAGACCAACACTTTGTACACGTTGCATATGTATATAAATAGATGTCTTTTCCTTCAGTGCATACGATGTTCAATCTGTAGAATTAAACAAGAACTCCCATTTATATTTGTCACGGGTGAACTTGTTCCTGCAACGAGTTTCTTTTTATTTTCGACATATCACCCAAGTATTCCCCAGATATATTTTCTCTAATTTTCTGCAGATATTTTTCTTTAGCAATCACTGTACGACCACCGTGTAGTTTCTCGCATTCTCAGTACTTCACAATCTGGTTTTCCATAAAAATATATGTTAAAACATTAAAATCTGAGAGGTACGTATTCTTTTTATTATTCAACATTTTGAATTTAAAGGATCGAAGGAACTATCGAAGATCGAGCATTGTTGTTCTACAAATAATTGATTTCGTCTTGTTCAACCGTCTGTATGTTACAAACGAATTTTATTTTACGAGAAATCCAGATCACATGGTAAACACATTATTATTAATTTCATAAATGAAAGGGAAAAGAAGAGATTTGGAGAAAAAGTCGAGAAAAATGAGAATCATAGAAGGGATGGATGTGGTTGCTTCGTTAGAAAATTGTAATGTGTAAATATAATTGATTATTAATATATGGTGTGGAATATTTACAAAAATACATTTTTATTTATTTACTAAATAAGAATATTCAAGGACGAAATATTTTAAGGAAATATTACACTTCAAATTAAAAATCGAGCAAATAAAGAAACATGCACCTCTTAAATTTTAATTTTTTATAGTATATTTTTTGAAAGCTCAAATCTCAATAATGTTCCCTCTAAGATTAATTTTAGGCAGTACGAATTTAATAGTCAATTAAAACAAACTGTTCACGAAATAATCGAAATTATAAAAGCAAATCTCGTCTGCAATATCTAGAATGCTTATTTCTTCGTTTCAAGATGGCGGCTAATTGATATTCTAAATGCAGAAAGTGTATAGAATGTAATTATCAAATACTCGAGATAAAATATCATCGAGCTAAAATAATTTTGATTCTTAATTCTCTTTAGTGACACCTTAAATTTTAATTTATAATCTGAATTTCTTCGAAATTTAAACAGGGTACACAGAATATGTTAACTATTTCAATATTGGCGACAGAAACGACCATTATTACTCATCAACATTATATATTATATTATTATAGTTATTGTCGAGTATACTATTTTCATATATTTTATATTTAATCTTTTAAAAGGATGGATAAATATTACGAAATTAGAGTAATCACGAAGAAGTAAACGGATAGGAAAGTAAATGTGATGAATCTAGTTAATAATTAACATGTTGAGCTTGAATATTCGTTAAAACGGCTGATGAATTCATTTTTTATTGCAATGTATCTTTCTATTCCTTGAAAATAGGTTTGCAATTGAAATATCTATCATAGTTTGCGTATATTTGTCACTATTATAGCTTCTGTGGCTGTCGCTGTTATTAATTGCTATCTTTGATGTGCACTTAATAGGCGTAACTACATTTACAATTATTATATTAATTCATATTGCTTTACAATTACAAATACGCAAATTCCAAGGCAGGCAATATTTTTTGCATCCGTGAATAGTGATATTATTTAAGAATGAAGAATAAATCATATGTATACATATACGTCTGCTTAAATTACAATTATAGATAATTATATCTTTAAAAGTATTCAGTATTCGCTAAATATATAACAGACAGGAAATTTCAATCTATCCTTTAGTGTATTCTATTTATTCTTGATAGCAAAAAATATTTATGTTAATTATTTTCCGTATAAAATAGTGAGTAGCAATTGAAATTTTTTGTAGTGCTTTGCACTGTCACATTTGTCGTGAGTGTTTGCGATTTAATCGTTAGCACGCGGATTTCACGTTTGTCAATGACACGTTTAGAAAAGTATGAAGAAATTTGACGTTATATACTTTATTTCTTTATTTTCTTAATAGAAGAACTACTTTATTTTCTTATTTTTGTAAGAGAGAAAAATTCTCGAAAACGGCAATGCGTCGAGAGCCCCCTTCATGGCGATGGCATACGCAACGTGGTGG